TATATGTATAACTATATCTACATACTTATAGTCTGCGGGTGTTTTAACACTGTATCCATTGCTCTGTCCGTTGGGCAGAGTATGAGGTCCACTGAATGCAAGTAGTCCATCTGGGACAATCCAATTCAGGTCGCCGTTCTCCACCTGAGTGTAAACGCCATCATATCATTTGTTATTGAAAACGTTTCATATCCGCAACCGTATTCTCCACCTGAATATAAACGTTGTCATTCTGTTCGCTATTTGAAACCTTTCATATCCTCAACCGCTTCATGGTAATATACACTGTAGTCGCTGGCTTTTAACATATAATAGTAGTGGTTGCTTGAGTATGTACTGTACCTTGGAGCGGACAACCACGCACCAACAATGTAACGCACACTCTAGTACAGACAATACATCTCAGTGTACGTTGTGGTTGTCTGATATATACACCTCAGTGTACGTTGTGGTTGTGTGATATGTATATACACCTCACTGTACGTTTAGTAAATATGCTTAGATCCATACATCTCAGTGTACGTTTAGTAGGATCCATACACCTCAGTGTACGTTTAGTAGGTATGCTTAGATCCATACACCTCAGTGTACGTTTAGTAGGTATGCTTAGATCCATACACCTCAGTGTACGTTTAGTAGGTATGCTTGGATCCATACACCTCAGTGTACGTTTAGTAGGTATGCTTGGATCCTCATCAGGTGTCGAATAAGCGTACTGCATTCACCAATAGTGAGCCTAGAGTGAGGTCTTTTAGTATATATTGACAGCCTCAACACCCCTTTATTCACTTGAGTAAACATTGCATTGGGTGTACCGTATTTAGGTGTACCGACTTTAGGTGTACCGTCTTTAGGTGTACTGTCTCATGTACTGAGAAACACAGACGCTTGACATGAAGTATGAGTTTTAAGCAGACAATCCACATACGTGTGCATGTACTGTACATGTATATGTACACGGTCCAAATTTATGAACATGTATATGTACACAGTCCAAATTACAGTACAAGCTCGTACATAGGTACTGTAACCAATTAAACTATCGATGTACATAGTGTGTATACGGGCGTGTACTTGATGTCAGTAGCTCATGACAGCGGAACACACACACACATATGTCCTACACAATTGTCGTAAACAAATGTCGTAAACAAACGTCGTAAACAAATGTTAATACCACAGACCTGTTCGTAGAATTTGTATGTGTCTGAGCAGAAATACTGAGCGTCGTAGAAGCCGTTCAACTGTGCCTGCTTGATGCCTGTTTAGAGTATTGAGTGGGGCAGCATATCAGATGCAATGTGTAGCGCCAGGTGTACATGACAAGATTCCTTGTCCCGATGTAGTGAATTATATTACCGAACACACCCCCCCCCACCACACACACACACACACGCACACACACACACACACACAAACACACACACACAGTATATCAGTACAGCTTACACCGATTTCAAATATCTTTGTTGTCTTTGGATGTATAGATGATGTTATTTCTGTATATACATATACATACATAATAATATTGATACATACGCATAATATATAGTTATAA